GAAGATTGCAACTGAGTAGGTGGTAACAGGTTCTGCTGATGCTGCATAAGTGACGGCTGAATATTTCCCTGTTGAATCTGTTGTTTCGTAAGTTGATTTTGCAACTGCTGATGGTATAGATGCAGCTGCTGCTGTTGCTGTTGAGGAAGCACCTGTTGCCTTCCTTGCATTTGTCGCTGCTGATTAGCAAAAATATTGGAAGACATCCCTTGCCCCAGTGAGTTCTGTGAAATTCCAGACATGTTCTGTATGTTGGAATTCTGGCCAATAACATTAGGTACAGGATTCTGGGTTAGACCAGATACGGTAGGCATACCAGATGGTAAACCAGCAGAACTTTGAACTCTGGAAGATGCCATGTTATTCAGAACACTCTGGGATAACAGTTGTGCTTGAGATTGGTTACTTTGTAGTGAGATGGGAACCGATTGCCCCTGACTGTGTACTTGGTTCTGCATGCCCTGAGAACCTAACCAAAATATTTATATTCAGAAGAAGTTGGAGAAGAACCCACAAGAACTGAATTGAAAAACACTTAGAACAAAATGAACAACAAAAATACCGAAACAATAACGTATTAAAACATGCAAGGCAATTGAATAATACAACGAGGAAAAGTTGATAAAAAATAGAAGGAAGAAGAAAACAATGAAAAAAATATTCCTAGTACATGCAGAGGTATATGCAGTGCTCAGCTCTGCATGTAAAGGAACAGAAAGGTTAAGTACATGAAAATAATTGTACTCACATAAAAGCAAAATACTGATTCTTGCTATTACCTGGATCAGGTGGTTTGCTGTTATTCCTTGTGGTGGGTATAGCATTCTGAGACTTGTTCTCCATTGTAAGAATCTCTCTTTAGATAATCAGTCTGAATACAGACAATAACGATAGAATAAACAAGTTTACTTTATTATTCAAATACATCTTCAAAAGATCTCTTTATCTACTTCCAACATAGTTAACTAGGTAAGGAGTTCGAGTGTGTGCATGTCCATAAATATTTTTAAAGCAAAGAAAGAAACATTAAAATACACATACACACAAACAACAATGCGACCAACCATGTTAAGGAATGCTCCTTGTAAGATTACCTGGCTGTTGCAGCCGTAAAAATCTTTTCCTCAAACCTTACAGCAATTTTTCTGAGCTCATTTAAATCCTCTTGACCAGAAAATGGAAGGTGCGTCTTCAATGTATCCATTCTATGTACACAAGGCATTGCATAAGTTATTGACATACAAATATGATATACTTGAGAATCTTCAAATGCTAAATAAACGAATGCTAAGGACCGGGTTATCAGGTCCCTTAAATAACACAAAATCAAATGAACACTAAGCAGGATATTATATGAGCACCAAAAGAACTCCACTACAAATTTCCAGGACAGTCACATTTAAATATTAAGAAGCACACTATTGGAATTGACAAAGTTCACCCAATATAAACAATTGCATACCATGGCCTTCATGTATCAGTTACATTCAAATAGACAACAACCATCTTTGCCATTGTTCAGACAACGATGTAGAAATGCAATGCTACTTAACCGCAATAAGTTACTTAATGGAAAGTCATAGTTCAGTAAGTAAGAACAAAAGAAAATCATCAATTCATAGTGCACATTGTCTGAAAGGTCCTCCCAAGCTTACAAGGACCAAAGATATAAAAGAAAATATATTTATTATCCTATCACATAAATCGATTAAATAATGAATCACAGTACGCCACGTAAGATTGGGGCCAATAGCTTAACCGCATCACGTTCCAGATATGTGACCTGTATGTGTGTCCAGTAAGACTTAAAAGCAAGCTTTGGTTCTCAAGCCATGTATTTACAAAATAAAGAAAGCAATTTGGAGGAGGAAATAAACATTCTTAATGGGAATCTTTTGTTCGTAACAATACTAAGAGACAACAAAAAAAATCCACAGAATCTCAGTAAGTTAAACACAAGTGTATTAAACAAAAAATAATACCATAAATTCACTTACATCTTGTTGACTATTCTTTGTTGTGAATCTGGCTGCCCAATCGCAAAAGAGAGATGGGCCGAGAAATTCCTCAAGGATTTGTTTCTCAAATAACGAATTCCCGGATTGAATTGGACTCACAGGGCCGATTCCCTTGGATTATAGAGAAAGGAATTTTTAAGCTTTGCGTTTTGCTTCCCAAAAGGATGGCCGGTGACCTTTTTTTTTTCCTTGCTATAGAATCGGAATAACAAACTATTATTAAGTGAGAAAAAAGAGACCAATCACTCTGAATAGAATAAACTGCACTGAAGAGTCATTTTCAACTCTGCAATATTCCTGAATTAATCAGTAATGAATTAATCAGTAAATAAATTAGATAATAATAATTAATTAAAAAAAGAGGGAAATCACGCGACGCTAATTTGATTGGTTGAAAAGAGAGCAAAAAGAAAACAAGTGAAGAAGAAGAAAAAGTAGAGGGAGGTCATATTATTATATATAGAATAATAGACCGAAGTGGAGACTTCGGTGATAAGTCTTGAAAATTGAATTTCTTCTAAAAGAGTTGATATACAAAAATACTTTTCATTTTGGTCACTTATCTATTTTCACTATTCTATTATAGTTACTAATTATTGTGGTTCTATTTGGTCATTTAATTATTAATTTAAATTATACTTGATTTGGTCCTTCACAATTAAAAAAATATTAATGATGTTGATATATCATCATAAAATAATGTCATATTATCATTGAAAATATATATATATATGTTTATTTTTAACAATTAATGATCAAATCAGAACTAAAATGTAACATAGATTTGATTTTTAAAAAATAATAATCGAGTAATTAAAATTGAACTGTAAGAATATATAGGTAATTAAATATGTAGTTTACCCAAATAATGATTAACAGAGAACAAAATGTGAAATAACGAATCAGTAACTGTTTCTTATACTTTTCCATTGATTCCAATTACATACAGACCATATGACCTTTGTTTGGGAATGAAAGACCAACAATGAAATGAATTGTGTAGACATTTCTTTCCCTCCAAATTTTGATGAAATTGTTCAATTTTCAATATTGAATATTTGATTTTATTCATTTTTTATTTTTATAATTAGGGTTAATGTATTATATAATCATTTCTCTTTTAAATTTCTTCTATTCCTTGTTCTCTAATCTGAGTTGACTATTCTCTTGATTTGTTTGTGTCAATCACAAACATCCACGTCCAAATTCTCTTCAAAAGACACTTTATTTTCTTCTTAATTTTATCCTTATTTTTGTTATATTTCTTTTAATTTCCAAACCTAATTATTTGCTCCTGAGATTCCAAATCCATGTTCCATGTTTAGATCATGGCCTTCCATATCAAAAAAGAAGAACAATGAAACACAGAGACCATTAATTTCATTAGGTGAATAATCATGCTTCCATTTACCACCAAGTAATAGACTATTAAGTACATTAATCCCATAAATTCCACGGGCTTGTCTTCCTTCATGCAGCATGTCTGACCATCAAGGGATACCTTAACAGTTTCCACGTTGATTTTAGAGTACCCTTTCTTCAGATGCACACAATCGGAACCTATCTTCTTTATCTTCCTTGTCGAGCCTATCGAACTTGCAACCACGTCCTTCCACCGTGAAGCTTCGAATTTACTGGTGTTCCTAATGGCAAACTCACAAATAATGGGTGTGTGTTAAAATTAGGAACTGATATATATGCACCAGCTTGCTAGTTGTTAATGAGCTTTCTGCATGTATTAAATATTTGAACCTAAATATTGCAATCACACACCTTTATGCATAGGTATTCTTGCCTCATTTCTCCATATTGCAAAGGAAGTTTACACATTTCTAGTATAGTTTACATATAGACAAATGCGAGTAACTACGATAGCATTCGTTAAGTCCGCAACAACACAACTGCTACTGCAGTTTGAAATCCCTATTCTTTAGCATCAGGGGTTTCATTGGTTGTTTCAGCTTGCACTGTATTGATCCCTTTGATTGTCTCGGCTTGAATTTTATCGTTCCTTTTGGTATGCTTTCGATCTTGCCTTTCTTTACCGTAAAATACCCAAGAGATCAAACAGAACATCACCGAGATCGTGGCAACGAGCAAGCCAATATAAACCTGTTGACTGTGTTTCCTTAGCCCCGGACAGTAATGCTGATGCATGTAATTGAGAATTTCCCAGATCGTGGAGCAGTCTACTAGGCTAGCAAGGAAAGGAACGTAACAGGACAGCACGTAGCTTATGTTAGCAGCCGAACTCATTTGCTTGTACAAGTCAGGGGTCAGACGCCCTTGTGTGCTGCAAATGCCGGATGACGATACATGGCATACGAATTTGCTCCATTCCTAACATCAAACATGATAAAATCAACTGGAAAGATCAAGAGTCGAAAACCACAACAGATAAAGCTTCGGATTGTACCTGTGTTGCATTGCCCACGGCTACTTGACCCTCATCACAAGCTTGTTTATCGTTTTCTGCCTTGTACGGGTCACAAACGGTGGGCAATGAGGGCCCGGATTGATTGTAGTAAAGACCTACTACTTGTGGAGGTATGTCATTGTTATTGGCTACAACGGAAATATCAAGGTTCAGCAGATCGTTAATCCCGTTGCTAACCGATTTACTCGCATCCTTGATGTTTTTTCCGAATTCCCGATCCACACAAGGAAGAAGTTCCTTGATTGCTGAACCAGCCATGGGGTTTTGCACCCACTCGTCTACCGCGGTGCACGTATCTGCCATTAAGCTGAAATGTTTTAGTGAAAATATGGTCAGATATGGAACTTGATCTGTTTCAAGTTTTACCAATGCACATATGGTTTGTTTAAACTTACTTGTGGAAAGCAAGAAATGCACCACACAAGATAAGCGCGAGAGTCATGATAATCCACCCGATGATCACGAATCTGCAACATCAGATCGTTAGTTTTAATGGTGATTATGATGGAGAAGAAGATGATAATCATGCACACTCTTTAAGTTACTTACATATACACCCATGTTTGCCAGCCAAGAGCAGAAAATACTGCAATCCATTAACAAAAAGAACGATGAAACACTTTGATGAGATAAGTTACTAATTGATAATCAACCAGTTTATAGGGGAACCAGAAGGCTTACAGAATCCAAGAAGTGCTACTAGAAGAATGGTACAAGTGTTAGAGATCAGAGCTGTGTTCCTGCGATAAACAAAAACGCATAGATGAAGTGTGCATTACGACACAGAAATATTGATGTGTAGAGAACGTCCATTTGACATACACATGCTCGAGAATTTCTGACAAGGAATTCGCCATGCGTATTGTCGTAAGATGAGGGAGGTCTTTACTTTCATCCAATTTAGAGGTGACCTCATCGATCTGGTTTATGATATCGGGTGGTAGAAATTTATTGTTCAAAGAAACGTTCCTGGCCGACTGAAGATAATTGACGACGATTATAAGACCATTCGAGATTGTTTCTCCTTGACGCACTACATATCCTGCGGCCTCACGTACGGCTCTCAAGAATCTTTTCTCTCCCCAGAACATTACACCGCATCCGGAACTGCAAAATGAATGCATGCAAGTAGTTAACTCTGTAATCTAAACACAGAATAATAAGCTTAGAAACAATACGTTTGAGGAAACTTACATTGCAGAAATGGTGAAAAGTATGAGAAAGACGAGACAAAGCACGTAAGCAAGCGGCAAATGACAATAGGAGTTGATGTATTTTTTGCAGCAGCAACAAGCACATAACATCAACAGGCCGAACATCACAAACCAGACGGAAGCGGTGACCAAGAAAGGGAAAGAACTAAAAGCAACGGACTGCATACAGAAAACGTGGAGAACAAGTTATCATGTTGATGAACAAACTGTACTATAATTTGATTAAACAGCAGAGTTATGGAATCTTACAGCATGGTAATGTCTGTTAGTAATATTCCATCCACCTTTATAGTAATTTAAATGGTCTAGAGGGTCCCTCCTGCGTGTTTGTTTCTCGGCTAATACTATACGAGTCCCATTTCCATTTCCTGATCTAGCTCCTGCCAGTTTTTCCTTTATCGAGCCCTCTATTCCTGTAAACATGAAGATTTATGGAAAAAAATTGAACCCGAGGCCGGAAATGAGACGAAAAATAATCTCAAATATCATCGTGATCATTCGAATCCTAACATTCGCAATCATTTCCCTATATATGAGAAGATAAAAACTACAAGCAACATAGAACATTCATACCTGGAAAATCACCTCTGAATGGCACTTGCAAATTACCATCCTTCCATGGCCCTGGCAATTTACCCTCAATGTCCAGCACCGGCATATGACCATCCTTTCCTGGCACCGGCACTGGTAAGTTACCATCCTTGCCTGGCATTGGTAACTTACCATCCATTCCCGGCACCGGTATCGGTAAGTTACCATCCTTTCCGTTCATTGGCATGTTACCATCCACAGGCACAGGCAAATTGCCAACATTCTGTCCGTGAGAAAATGAAAACAAGGCTGATAAAACGTGGAACAAAGCTGGAATAAGAAGAAATGTGTTCAATTTTACAGGCCTCCCCATCGTTATTCTAGGATTGTTCTTGTCAGGGTTTGATTATCCCTTGGTAGAATCAACCAAGGGATGAATGACTTTTTCATTGACTTGAAATTGCAGATTAAAAGTTTGTTTTCTGGTGCATTTGTTTTCCAATAACACAATTTTTTCTGGTATTTAAATTGTTATTATTACGTGTAATTACCTCTTCTAACATCTTATCAATAGACTCTATATTGACTAATCCCCTTAGTTTGAGGAGGATTGCTTTTCTTGGGGTTGCCACATAAACGATGATATAATTTATACACATTTCTGTTATGTTGTTTGAATCTAGGGACAATTCTGTTATGGACTTAATTGTTGTTATCTGGTTAGGGCAACCGCATCAGATTATCCAATTATAATCTTATGACATTCAAGCATTCTAGAAAATAGTTTATAAACAAACCCACTTAATGACTTGGGATCATTTATTTCCCCTCGTTAATCTAGATTCTAATAGTGATATCTACAGAACGGGACGAATTCTGAATACTAGATCATTTATTATACAATACAATTATATCATCGGAAAATTAATATGTTACTAATAAATTTGAAAAGCTTTATCAAAAAGATAAATTAAACTTCTCAATTGAGTGTAGATGACAATTTTAAGTAGGGGCGGAAGAGTTTATAAAATAATAACAACTGGGAAAGAATTAAAACAAATCAAAATAATTACTTCTCATTTTTTTGAATAATTAATTTTTATTTTTGCAGAAGAATCCTCGTATACAGGTGCGTCACATTTGCAAACCGTCAACTTTGCTGCCCACATCCTTACCAATTGGACTGCTGTTTCTAGATCGACATTTTATTTTGCTTGTGATTGTCCTCTTATGTATTACCGACGTTCTTTCAGAATCATCTCGCTTCATTCCTGCTGTTCTTAGAGCTTAAGACAAAATCAGGCAGGAGCCATCATCAGATGCACTCTTGCTCAAGCACTCATGACTCAATGGTTCTGAATCTTAGCAAAACATGGTCTCAGGCTCTCAATCACCCTTAAAAAGGAGAACATGAATATAATTCTATACGAGTATCCCACATTACTACCTGTGAAGGGTTACACTACAGTCGACATTTTCCAGAAAGCAAAACTTGTTACTTCCCCATTGAGCATAACAATGACTCGAGCACCCAATTCCTTTTGTCAGAGAGCAGAAATTCAGTAGTAGCCTCATTTTCAAAATTATGTACAAGCAGCATTGCAGCTACTAAGTACGAGGTTCTCCTTGCACCAGCTTTGTTCCCAATTCTTCCCTTGGCTTAGATGAAAGCCCTTTCACTAGCATTTCCTCTTCGTACTTCCGAGCCATATCTAACATGCCCTTTTGAATCAAAGCATCAATCAGAGCATTGTAAGCAAACTCATTTGGGCTACTTCCTAGTTCTTCCATCTTCTTCCAAACCATAAAAACCGGTCGAAGAAATCCCCATCTCCCAAACTTCCTCATAAGCATCACATACGTGTCCATCCTTGGTTGAACCCCATTCACAACCATCAAATCAAACAGCTTAAGAATTTCTCTAGGTTTCTCAAGTGATGCAAAAAAGCAATGATATGTAATCACATCAGGCGCAATATCGTTCTTCAGCATTTGATTAAGCACGGAATAAGCTTGTCTCACCCTACCATTCTCAACCAGAAGCTTAATGACAGTATTATAAGTAACAACATTCGGCTGACAGCCCAAATCCCTCATCTCTCTGAATACCCCGACACCAAAATCCACACCGTCTGAAACACCAATAGCCCGAATAACCGTATTATAGGCCACGACATCCAACTTCATCCCTTTCTTCTTCATCTCCTTATATAACTTCACTGCCTTCCACGACTTCCCACTCTTGCACATTATATCCATATAGATAGAATAAGAATGCAAATCCTTTTTAACACCTTTTTTATCCATTTCCTCCCAAAATTCCCTACATTTACTCCACCACCCCATTTTAAACCACCCACGAAGAATCATATTATGAATCTTAGTATCATTCACACTAAACCCTAATTCCTTATTTTTACCAAAAAAGCACAAATCATGTGCTTCGACGACATGCTTATACTCACAGAGTGAGTCAACAAGGTTACAGAATGAAATTTCATCTTTCAAACTGAATTCATCCAACCTATCATAAGTGGTAACAGCTTCATTAACAAGATGGGCGGTCACATAACGCTTAAACATGATGCGAAACGTGGTATGATCGGGTGACGAACGAGGGTTTTTTTTCATTCTACAAATCAAATCCCATGAAAGATTGAACTCGAAATACTTACCCAAAATGTCCAACATCTTGTTGAAGGTATCGGTGGTGTGGGTGAAGTGGCAATTGGTTTCGACCCAGTTGAAGAACTCGAACGCGCGTCTCCAGTCGTCGGAGTAGCAAGAGAGCGTTTCGCTGACGGTTTCGTGGTCGACATTGGCTTGGCTTGGTAGGGGATTTGGAGATACAGAGTGAGAAGTAGAGGAAAGGAGTCGATGAATCGGCGAAAGCACATAAAAGGGGATGAGGCGTTTTGCTGTGATTAAAGAAGCCATTTTCGCACCACACTGAACCATGCGCACAAATGCTAATTATTTCAAGGGAAATGCGTTTATTAGGGGTTAATTCCAACCAAAGTCCCCCAAACTATCACCAATACACTTAAGGTATATGAATCATACTATGAATACATGTCTATTTATAACATGGACAAAATTGACTAATTTTTATAGTTTGGGAGTAAAAGCTCAATTTTCTTAGCTTCAATTTTTAATAGTTTGTGGTAATTACAAGATAATCATAACTTTCTTTAACCTATTGACCATACATATAAATCCTGCAATGCAATTACTCGTATATAGAATATCTCAATTTTATCACTGAAATCACTTGATAAATTTTAACTCTAAATTTAACAATGACTTGGAACATAATAAAAAAGCATAAAGCATATATTTGATAACTTGTTATTAATATTTAATGTTAATAATTGTAGGATTTTCTCTCTCTTTTCAAGTGAGTCGTTCAATTCTCTTCTTTTATTCTATTACATCACATCTTTGTTTCTTGACTTGGCCGACAGTGACACCAACATTAGTGTTGATTGTCGATCGTTGATATTTCTTGTTTTTTTATTTTATTACATCGCGTCTTTATTTTTTTAGTTTTTGATAATTTTGCTTTCATTACATGTTTTCCCTCATTTTTATGCATGTTTTTCATGCTTTTGGTAGGTTTTCAGTTTATTGGTTGTTTGGTTGTTCCTTTTCGTTTATATTTTTCTCAGGGTTGGATTCTGTAACACCCCTAACCCGTATCCAACCCGTATCCAACCCGAATATGAGTGCGAGGTGTCACATTGACGTTTCAAACTTTGACACTTAAAGAAAAACAAGGAAATTTTAAACTTTCATTAAAACAAAATACATTAATTTACATAAAAGATACCACAAAATACAACATCGATCAGAGCATTCGTAATTAACAACTTATTACATGTCAACACTCGATACCCAACCAAAATACCTACTTTGTCAATTACTTCTGATCTGATCTTTTAGTAGTGATGTTGTCCTTGCCACTTCTATTACTGCTCTTCTTGTTTCTTGGTACCTACGTGTAAATCACTTACACGCTAAGTCATAGACTTAGTGAGGCATAATATAATTATATAGATATAACAATGCATTCATGAACATGCATTCTTACCATTTAATCATGACATCTTTATTTGCATACATCTATTTCACTATAACATGTATGATGGTAACATGCACATATAAAACATATATTCTTATGCTAATTCCACTTTAATTTATCTTTGGATTGCCCATGTACATTATTGAGAACAAAGGTATACGAGTACATAGAGATTGTGCACTATGCTGTCACCACAGCTCGTATAATTCCCTCAAGGGGCACTGAATATTTGTCCCGAATGACCACTATGTCCCGAAAGACCACTGATTGTTCCGAATAACCACTATATCCCGAAGAACCACTGATAATCCCTCGACTCTTGGCATGCCAATTATACCTACAGCTCTCATATTAAATAACATGGGCTTAATTACAAATACATTTCTCATTTTATATCTCTTTCATCACTGTCCATATAAACACATAAGTCACTTCATATGATCATTTTCATCATTTCACATACCTGGAAGAATTCTCTGATAATGGCATTCATTCATATAATACCATGTTAATCGTGAATGAAAAATGCATGGAATCACTATAACATTAACACATATATATATGTATGCATGTGCATGAATATGGAATCATAAATTCAATGATAAGAGATAGACTTATCGCAAGTCTTATCTCAATTCCATTTCATCCAGGATATGCACTCACCTTGGTCTTGCTTGTTTTAACTTGATCCTAATCCTTCGTTTGTTCCGGAACGAAATTACGTTCTATATCTACATAGAAATACATTGATACTAATCAGTTTATTAACTAATATATTCTGAACTATCACTCCTTAGGCTAAAAAGAAAGCTATTTTCATCTTTTAATGAAGGTATGCATCGATGCACTACACCATGTATCGATGCATCGGTACATAAATCTCATTCGATGTTTGTATTTTAAGGGGGTGCATCGATGCACTACTTGTACATCGATACACTGATGACATTAGATGTTTTTATTTTAAAGGAGTGCATTGATACACTTCATGTGCATCGATACACATTGAACAATTTATGGGATTTTACCCTTGATGCATCGATACACATTGAATATGCATCGATGCACATAACCAAAAATTCCATTTTAAGCAAGAAATTCACTCTCTTTTCAGCTCAACTCTTCATCTTTCACCTCTTTTAATATTCTTAACTCTTATACACCTATTTAAACTAATTATTATCCATTTAATACCTCTAAAACTTAAAAATCCAATCCTCCATATAGAATTCAAGAATCTTACTCAAATTCCAATATGTTTTGAATCTAATTCTAACACTTCGTATGTCTTGATTAAGTCGATGACAAGTCAAATCCAACCTCCATTTCTAATTATGAATTCTATTTCAAAATTCTATTCAAGAACTCTTAATCATTAATTCTTCCTACACCCTTCATCTTGTTGTTTTAAAGTAAATTAAGATTTCATTAAGCTTAATTATCATCTAAGGAACAAAACCAAACTTAAATTTCAACTAACAAACAACTTATGAGAAATCTAACCTTTGCTATGAGTCTTCACGTTGGGAGAAAAGAAGAAAAGAAGAAAACTCTGAAAACTTATGCATTTCTCTCTTCACTCCACGTGGAAACATATATAACCATAACAATTAAATTATTTCCCTTGTCAATGACCATTTTGTCCTTCTATTCCTCCTTCTTTCCAACTTGATCCTACACCACATTTTTCATACAAGTCTTGAACTGTTCAATTATTATACTTTAATTATCAAATTCTGAAACTTTACAATTTAGTCACTAACCCGATATTGAGGATGTTACAGATTCAACATCGTTTTAACTGATTAAGATGACGCTAATTTATTATCATGCTAATTTTTCCTAGTTTAAACTCTCTAATTGAATTGGGATATGTGTTTGCATTCGTGGATAGTTTTCTCACGTCGCTCAACTTTGATTTGCGATTTATCAGTGGTCTTTCAGTAGTTTGATCTCGTTTTGTGGTTCGTTTGTTGATGTAATCATATACGTTCGTATCAATCTTTTGTTTGAGTTATTTGATTGGGTTTTTAATTTTTGGTATTCGATTTAATCCTAAATAAAATTATCAAATAATCTAATGAACGTAGTCAAATTAAATATACTTTTCAATAATTAAAATAAATATTTTAATTCTTCAAAAGATTTTGATTCAAGAAATCGAGAATATTATATTCTTAATCCTTTTATAATATCAAATCCAAACTATTTTTATAATAAATATTTTAATTCTTCAAAAGATTTTGATTCAAGAAATCGAGAATATTATATTCTTCATCATTTTATAATATCAAATCCAAACTGTTTTTATAAGAATAACAGTAAGGATGGAGTACTCCAAGCCATTTTTTTTAAAAAAAGGGGCGCTTTATATATTACCGATCTAAACATACAAAAGACGATTGAGAGGTCCTAAATGGAGGGGAAAAAAGTGCACCCAAACAACGTCAATAAAGTACCAATAACCAAAACACAAACAAGCAGCCATAAACCTCAACGAACTAAATGACTATCAGTTGAATCATATAAACTTCAGATAGCACAACCATACAGCTACTACAAGCTTAAACCTTAAACCAACCAAAGCACATAAACAAGGAAGCACAACTTCACCAATATGGGGGGAACCAAAATCAGCTCCAGCAATAAACGCACCATCAGCGACCAGCCAAAACAGCTCAACAACGGTAATAAGGCTGCCTCCCAGCCCAGCAGAAAAATAACTGAATAGGCAACAGCAATAGATCGATAACAGCCCTTGAACACTGACACTGAACACTGCAATATGAAGAGGAAATACTCTCACCACGATGAAGACGGCAAATAAAACCCTGCACCATATGACATATTCACCCAGGGGCTGCACTGATCAATGCTGAAAGCTGAAAATTGAAAGGAGAAACCGAGCAGCGGTCTCTAACATCTAAGCGACAACGTTGTTACACCCCTTAACCCCAGATAGCCATGAAGAACCCACGCATAAGGAGACAAGCCAGTGCAGACCTGCAACAAACGGAAGGCAAACCAGACGACAGTTGACCATAACACCAGAAAAGGATAAAAACCCCAGACAGGGAACACTCAACGCAGCATCATAGCCAAATTGTCTTTGGTTATCAATCAATATGATCTCTCTAAAGTAGACTCCCAACCTCCCGTTCAAAGTCAAAAAAATCTCCTTAAATACACAGCTACCTTCAAAAACCAGCATTAAGATTCAAGTCCCACAGAGAAACCATGATTATATCCAATGCATGCACATACTAGCAGGATAGGGGTAAACCACTTAGGAAATCAATAACTGAAGGTGACAAAACAGGCCATTTGTATTTGCACCAATGGCCAATTCTAAGAGCAGATAGCTGAAAAAGTTGATTCTCGCGTCACCTTTTATTGTTTAACAAAATATCATTTCTACGAAGCCATATGCTCCACATTATCCCAAAGAAAACTGATCTCCACACGGGTTTGTAAGTAAAAGAAATCTGCTGATCCTCCCACACAAGAAGAAGACTCCTTACATTGCCAGTACAAACTAAATTAACCTTCCACAAGGAGCACCATTTTTGCCATAATCTCCACGACACTTTGCAATGGCAAAATAAGTGATGATCGTTAATTAGTGGTTCTCTGTGAGAGAAAGATACTTTGGGAGAGAATATAAGTGATGTAAATGTGAGAGGCACTGAGAGCAGATAAAAGGAAGGAGAGAGTCCTCCTTTTAACCTTTTATCGGGGGTATAAATACCATGACCATAGGATAACCGATATGGTTGAGGAGTATGTGGTTGAAATCTATTTAAAAATAAACTTAAAATAAATGATAAATTAAAAAAATAAAAAATCATTTACCAAA